ATTCTAGGAGAGGCTCCAGCCCCAATTGCAATTAGAAGGAAAATAATAGTGTAAGTTCAAGAAGGTGAGTTACCAATAGGGTCAAATTTAAATCTGAAAGCAAGATGCAGTTCACATACACGATAGAGTAGAGAGAGCTAAGCTATAAAAAGGATGAACTCAGGCTATTTGCAACAACAGGATGGAACATAGCAGGAGCATAGCTAATGTAGAAAATCAGGAGAAAGACATTTGCTTGATCGCTTCACTCCAATTTCAAATCTGGAGGGAAAAAGAAAGGAACCAACAAACCAGAACAATCTCTGGAAATATGACTGCAGAATTGTGGGTATTACAGAGGGATGGAGAGTGGGTGTGTGTACAGAGGTGGGAGGGTGTTCAAAGATCTATGGAGAAGGCCCACGAGTGAACTGGTGGTGAGTGTGGTGGTGGCAGACCTCTGAGAATATGAAACTCTACTCCCTAAATCAAATGTTACCTCGATTCAAAAAATTAAAGAATATATTGAAAATATGGAGATGAAACAAATTTCCAAAAACTGTGGACTCAAAGGCATGTACTTCCCTTCATGGCAGGGAGAGACCTTTCTGTCAATTCTTATTTAAATGTTATATAACGCACTGCTCAGAATGACAGCATATGCAGCAAACTCTCCCTCATCTTTTGTCCAACTTTCTCCTGCTCATCGAAGGGAAAAAAGTTCTGCATCCAGCCTGTGGTCGTCACTGTGAAAGGCTTTCTGCACATCCTTCTGACATCAACACTCCTTGGCTGCTACTGGAGTCACTGCAATACTTGGTACCTGTTTCTACGTAATTCATAGCAGCTCAAGTTTTTATCTAGTATGTTAGTTGCACTATATCATCCTTTCACTGATGCTTTTGCTTTCTTCCAGATGATTCCCACAAGAAGGTGGAATTGCACAGATCAAACTCCTCCCATGGTATGAGCCCCCAACCTGAAACTCTTGGTTCCATGGCTTTAGAAACCACAACCTTAGGTTTCCCCTCCCATGTAAGAACATTCCGTCCCTCACTGAATGATTTCTGGGTTCTCCTCAGCCTCACAAAGGCTGACTGAAATCCACTGCTGAGGGGAGCAGCAGAGAAGACAGAAGAGGTCTGCCGTGCCATGTGTATAGCTCCCTGGCTGGTCGGGGATGGAACTCATGCTTTAGAGGCCACAGATAGCTTCACAGTGCTGTGCTTAACCCCTTGCACCACCAGAGAGGCCCACATTTTCCTTTCTCACAGCTTATCACTTCAACAAAACAAATAATTCTTCCATGATTACTGTTCTTATCCCCACTCATAGATAATTTATCACTGTCAAAAACTTCCCATGAACTTACTGAGTGAAAAAAACAAATGTCTGGGGCCTCCCCAGTGGCACAGTGGTTGAGCGCTGGGTTGCAAAGCTTCCCACAGCCTCTGCAGCGCTGGGTCGATCCCCAGCTGCTACCCAGCCACCGGAGGAGGGTCTCATATGGCGCACAAACCTCTCCTGCCGCCCGCTGCTCCCCTCAGTGGTGTACTTTGGTCCTTCTGCCTGCTCTGCTCCCCGCTCTGGCTCTGGGAAATTCTCTCACCCTCCTGCACTTCTGACTGTACCCAGTGCTTGTATAAATTAATTAATTAATTAATTAAAAAATGCCTGAATAAGTACCTTAAAGAAAACAGTCGGTGAGAATAAACTAATAGAGAGAACACAGAAAATGTGACTACTGCAGAATAATTTCCTGCAGTATCAGTGACTGCATACTGGTGAAATCCAACATTGACAACCGTTAAAAAAAAGAGCAGTAGTAAATCTAGGAGAGAGCTTATGTGGAAACTGAATAAAGAATCACTTTGATAAATGCAGATAAACTCCAAGGTTTGGACACTGGAAAAGTAGTGCAGTGTGGCCAATATCACTGGCCACTCTCCCAGCCTCCTGCTAGCCTCCTGCCAGGCAAGCACTGACTGACCTGAGAGGTTCTGGCTTGGGGCTTCCTCCACAGTCCACGGCTGTACTCCCTTCTCCAACCTGATGCTCTCCTCAGGATCGATAACACAATGCCTTGTGAT